GGAGAGAGACAGAGATAGGCACCTTTAAGCATGTAGCAATTTATGTGCGAAATATTTTTGGTTAGAGTTTTTCTTTTGCTGCTGCTGCCGGCTGGCAGCAAATGAAATCAGGCATTGCCCATGAAGCTGGTGGCCATTAATTTATGTAAAGCACAAATTATGATTGGGACAGAACAGTGGGCAGACACTGGCAGAGCTCCAACTAGGCCTACCCAACTGGAGCAGAGCAGCAGCAGCAGCAGCAGCAGCAGCTGTAACGCGATGATTATGCAAGCAGCCGAGTTCCCATAAAGCCTGATGATGATGAGGCTGGTTAGAGCAGAGACCAGGCCGAGCGAGAGGGCCAGGCATTTGAATTGGGTGCTGCGGTTTCCTTTTTGGGGGGAGCCATCCAGCAGTTAAGGGTAAGTGAAAAGCACCGCAAGAAGAAACGACTTTGGTTAATGGCGCAAAATGTTCGCAGTTGGCAGACCCAGCCAGGCACGAAAAATGATTTATGGCACAAGGAAGTTAATTTATTAATTTCAGGACGCTCCAAATGCAGCAGCTACAGCATCAGCAACAGCTAAAGGCGAGTTTTAGGCGGCACCAGGAGCAGATCCTGACATGTTTACAAGCCGCCTGCTGGTAGGGATCGCTGGCAGAAGCGACAGCGGCCCAGTTTTAAATTAGAAACAGAACAAAAACAGCGCGAAACAAGCGCACGGAGATTACAAGCGGCTAACCAAAGTTGCAGAGGAGATGGGATAAAGGGGCTGCCCTGTATATTAGAGAAATATTTCTGGAAAAATAAAGCAATTTTATAAAAGCACATTGAAGAAAATAATATTAAGCAGTTTATAGGGCTAAAAATGTAAAATGTGGCATTTTTTTAGGCTTCATTGACTGCATAGGGAATACTGAATTTATTAACAATATTTACATGAATACATTTTTTTATTAAAACTTTTAAAAATATTTGAAAAAATATAAAAAAATATATTTAAAAAATATATTTCATGTACTTGATAAAAAATATATATATACAAAACATATGTACATTAAAAACCTTTTTTATTATAAATAATAATAATAATAAAAATAGTACTATGTATTAAAATCATTTTAAAAAAATATTTATACATACAAGTAGTTCGATAAGTACAAAATTGTAATATAATAAAACTATTTTATAATATATAAAAAATAGTTTAAAAATTTAAAATCTGTTTATTTAGAAAAATGTACTTTGTATACTATTTCAAAAAATAAAATAAAAATACTAAACAAATTAGTTAATAAAAAATATTTTGTATTTATATCTTTTTTAAATATTTTTTATTTATTTTTAAATATTTTGTATTTATATTTTTTCTTATTTTTCATTTTTATACATTTCATATTCATAGTTTTTATTTATTAATTATTCTATTATTTTTGTATAGTTTTTTTTTTTTTTTCAATTAATTACTAAAAAAATCGTCCAATAAATGTATAAAATTTAATCGTAAATTTAAATCACTTCTGTTTTGGTTTACCTCAATGTGGCTTGCAGTTCAGATCAGAAATTGCGTATACGCCTAAATGGCCAACCCTGATGTTCAACCCGTTCGCTAATTGATGAAGGTGCGCGGGGCACAACTCAATAAAATCAAATTTAGCTCATTAGCAACAGAAATTGATTGCAATATGTTTGCTTCACTTTGATCTAAAGGCACTTAGACGAGCCAACCATAAATCGAGCGGAGCGAACCGAACCGCACCGAGTCTGGGGTCCGCACATATATAAATATAGAATCTATGGCGCAGCAGTTGCCCCAGAAAGCGGGCGGAGTGCGGCACGGAGGATGGGGCGGCGGCAAATGCTGAGTGAGCGACTCTGAGGCTGATGGAAAGCGCATGGAATTCTCCGATTTTCTAGTCAATTTCTAACAGCGAGCGGGTAAAATGTTGCTCTTGATTAATTGCACAATCCCAATACGAAATATTCCATCGACACCCGAAACATTCCTCATTTCAAGTTCCCGAATTCCGCTTATTAAATCATCATTCGCTCACTCTGCTTGAGAATGTTGAGAAATTGTTGCGTTGACAAACAATTTCATTGGCAGATTGCGAAAAGAAATAAAAAAAAAAAATCGACTTTTAGATTCGCTGTAAATCAAATGATTATAAAAACATTTCATTCGCTTTTAAATCTCTTTCCTTTCTTTTTGTTTTTTTGTTCTTCACATTTGTGAGTTGGCGCCCATTAAACTGTCAGCGACTTTGCTGTCTACGGAAATGAAAGAGACAGAGAGGGAGCAGAGAGAGAGAGGGCGCAGGAAGTGTGAGTGAGCGCGTTGAGTGTGATGCGTGAACAGCTCAAAGGCAGAGCAAAAATTGACAGTCGATGATGCCTTTCATCTATTAACCTTGTCTATGTAAACACAAAGAAACCAAAATGCATTTCAAGCAAAGCGAATGATTGCAATAACTTAATTTGTAGTGGTCAGCTATTGATGTAGTTAATTAAATATTAATACTTTATATTATATACGAACTGAACTGAGCGAACTGAAGATATATGCAGCAATTTGAAGAAGCAGAAATTGCTCTAAGAAAAAAAAAAAAAAAGCTGAGAAAAAATGTAAATAGTAAAAAAATAAGAAAATAAATTTGTTATATAGTTATTGAGTATTTTTCATATATATTTATTTTTAATAATTTAAATATAATAATAAATAAATTATTTTAGATAAAAAATAATAAAAATATTTTTAGTAATAATAATTATAAAAAAATGAAACAAAGTACAAATAAATAAATAAAATAATAATATTAAGTTAATCATGAATGATAAATGAATTTAACTTATTAAAAAATATTTAATAAAAAAAATTAATTAATTAAGTTAAACATGTATATAAAATTCAATTAAAAACAATATTAAAGAGAACAAAAGTAGAGTTTGAATATTTTTTATAATTTAATATAAGATTTAAATAAAATAGTAAAACCAACATAATAATTGCATAATTGTATAAATTCAATAATATATAAAAAATATTTATACAAAAATATATACAAACCAAATTATAAAAATTTAAGTATAAACAATGCCTGTAAAATCGTTAATCAAATGAATTTCGTTTTAAATTTAGTTAAATTTCTATAATATTTTCTAGCGTTAAATGAGTTCACCAACAACTAATCAGCACGCAAGTTGCTTCCTCATTTGCTTTATGTATAAATAATTTATAAACATAATAAAAGAAATTAGTTTTCAGCTTGAGCAGGCATTCAACAATTTTTTTATATTAATGGATATCTAGCAAATACCGAAATATATTACGTAAATAAATAAATTTGCGGCCGAATGGGCCTCGAGCGTACACACACTCAAACACACACGCACACACACATATGTTTTGCTATATTTTCAATTTGAGCAGCTAGGGCAATATAATAAATTCGTTGGTAATAAAAATACATCATCAAATAAATAGTTCGACCGTGTTGCACACGAACAAAAGCAAAGTTCGAGCCGAAACGATCATTTTTATTTTATTTTATTTATTTATTTTATTTTTGTTTTGTGTAACTTCAGTTCAGCAAATACACGGCAAGTTAAATAAATTGCATCTACGCAGCGCCCGTCCGGCGTTTGTCGAGCTTATCTCTGGCCACACCAGCCATGGCGGCAAAAGGACAGACAGGCTGGGCATAGGACGGAGCCAACCCTTAAATCACATTTTGCCTAATTTTTCGCTGTCAAAAAAACTCATTAATCTTTTGGTCTGGCTGGCAATGGCAGTGCCATGGAAAATGGAACAGGAAAAAACATACGCCGCACGGAAATTGCTATACGAGGGCGCCACACAGCCACAGCCGAGCCCAACCAGCACACACACACAGACACACACACACCCAAAAACCAAAAACCAAAATCCGCTCTCACCTTGCCGAGCTGGGCGAAATTGTTGCTGCCCTTGAAAAATGAGGCTCTCGTATGTCAGACGAAGCGCAAATGTCACCCCAAAAAATAAAAGTTGCTCGAGCCGAAAGTCGAACGTGTGTAATTTATTTAAATTTAAGGATAAAAACAGGACCAGGCGACACAGACTCTCCACTGGGAAGAACCCCGTTCGCCTGGCCCACTTGAATATTGATTTCTTGCGTAATCTTTGCGGCACGCCCGCTGGCTGCAACTCCTGCTCAGCTCTACTCCTGCTCCAACTTCAATTTCCACTCCCAGCCCGCTTCGCATTCCCGAGCCCGATAGTGGCCAGGCCTCCATTGACGTTTCATATTTATTAATGAGGCGCATTTGTGTTTGGAATTTTTAATTGGGCAGAGGTGAAAGGAGAGGGGCAGCAGTCGAAGTGGGAGAGAGGCGGGCAGAGGAAGGCAGCAATGCCACGGCCTATGGCATAAATGTAATTGAGTAATTAACATAAATTATAATACATAATTTTCTCTTGGCTCTTGCGTAATTATTGTTAGGTAAATTAGATTTCAAGTCGTGCCCCCGCCTCCGCCCCCGCCCACACACACTCTGCAGAGTTTAAGGAGAAATTATTGTATGGCATTTTGCAGTGAATGTATTTGCTTTGCCGCGATAAGCAATTTATGTTAAAAGTTTTCGCTCAAAAACTTGGCCCACAGCTCCATCCACATTTCCGCTAACTGGCAACTGCCAACTGGCGGCAGACTCCCAAACCAAATCAAACTCAATCAGCATCAGCAGAAAATCTTAAATAATGTTTGCACACTGCCAGCCAAAGCAATCGACAGTCAAAAACAACGACAACGATGGCAGTTGACAGATGACAGAGACAGAGTATGAGAGTTTGACAAAAAGCAAGGATAACAGCATCAGCATCAACTTCGGTATAGAGGTTGAGTAAAGACAGCCAAAAGCTGTCTAGAGCAAGAGGTGAAGGGTAAAGCGAATGAAGTCCTGATAGTTATCATAATGCGGCATATGAACTTGCCTTGGCTTGTAATCTAAAACTTAGATATATGCAAGAATTACTTACCTCAATATAACGAAGGATTGTTTCTTGGCATCTATGGGAAAAAGGAGTCTAGAGACTTATCAAATATATTGCTGAAAAGAAGGAAAAGAAAAGCTGATTAGAGCAAGAATATGGGAAGAACAAGTATATGGGAAAATATATATTGAGTAAGAAATTGCGGTCGACATAGAGTTAAAAGAGAAAGAGAGAGAAACAGTGGGGAGTATGAAAGGCTAACTGAGAGAGAAAGTCGAAGAGGTGACAGAGTAAAGGACACAAATTTTCTTACTAATAAAGTATATATTTCCCATCTTTACTTCAAACCTGTTTGCATGTCTCCCAAAATAATATTATTTGTACTTCCCAAAAGCAACAACAAAAAGTTACGCATTAATCTGCACATGTTCATACCCAAGTCTATCGCTCTTAGCCCCAACTATCCAGCTTACCAACTATCTACCCAATCTGGCTAAGCCTTAGCATCCATATACATCAAAAGGTAAAAGGAATTAAGATAATGAAAAAGTTAACCAGGGTCTGGAAGCCAGGCGAGCGTAGCATCATATATACCATCATACGCAGCACTTCAAAATATTTATATACTTTGCATAGTTTTAAAGCATGCTCAACACTCCAAAAAGCAAACAAAAAAATAAATAAAAGATGAAAAAGTGTGTGTAGAGCATTTAAAATGCTATCAAAATTTCCACACTTTTCAGACAGACAACCCAACACGCAGCACACACACACACACACATGAGAACGCATCAGCCAGGTTGGGTGCTGGGACTTGAACTTAGAAGCAGGAGCAGGAGCAAGAGCAGGAGACGGCGGCTGAGGCTGAGGCTGAGGCTGAGGCAGTCATCTGTCAGAAGTTGGCAACCCTGCCGCCATATTGAATTTTGCTGTGTGTCTGGGCTTGGGCTGCCTGGTTGAGTTTGTCTGTTGGTTTTCAACCCACCTTGTTGCTGATTGCTGCTGCTGCTGCTGCTGCTGCTGTCACACACACATCAACAGAAGCAGCAGCAACAACAACAACGCTGTTGGGATTTCAACGCTCTCTTACACACACACGCACACACACACGCACACACACTCACGCACAGCCATAGAGTGAGATAGCAAATGGCAACTTTGTGCATAATTTTGCGCCTTGTTGTCATGTTTCATGACTCCTCTTGATCACTCCCGCTCCGCCCATGCCTCTCTCTCTCTCTCTCTCTCTCAGTCTTATGTGTGTTTTGTGCTGCCTTGTAAAATGTAAATAAATACGTTGAGCAGGAAAATCATTTTTGTCTGTGTAGTTATGCCAGTTAAGAGGTTTATGCGTGCCAGCAAATCAGGAAGAGTGACAGAAATTAAAACACATAAAGACGTACATACATACAAAGCTGATGGAAGCTGTAAAGTGAATGCACAGTTGATGGATGGAATAAAACTTAAAATGTCCATGCTTAATGGAAAAACAAGAAATTATGATTAATGAATGGCTGAAATTATACAAAGTGTAATTAGCTTAACTGGCGGGAGACGAGTGAAAGTTGCTAAATGATGGCCAGGTGAGGAGAGGACTTTGGAGACCAATAATAATGCAAATAATAATGAACATTTTAGAGACCAGTAATAATAAATGAAAATGCTAATACTACTTATTACTTTAATATTAAAAGAAATATTTATACAAATTCTAATGATAATGCTAATACTACAACAAATGATAGTAGATTAATACTAATAAAAATATTAATGAGAATTTTAATACTAATTCTTCTCCTTACTGAGTGCAATACTTAAATAAAAAATACTTATGCTAGTGCTGGTACTTGTACTAATATGTATACTAGTATATATAAGAATCAAACTAACACCTCAATGGAAAAGCCCATACAAATAGTGGTAATAATACAAGTACTAATTATAATGCCAATACCAATTCTAATATATTTTATAATAACTTATTAATACTAATGCTAATAAAGAATTATGTCAATGCTAATACTAATTGATAATGATTTATTAATAATAATTTGAATACATAAAGAATAATACGAATACTAATAATGACATTTATATTAACAGTAATTCAAAAACCTGATGATGCAAATACTAATACTTATTAATAGCCCCAATACACTACATATGATAATAGTAATACTAATACAACTACTAAAACGAATGCTAATACTAATACTACTACGAGTACTGAAAATAATACTAATATTGGTATTAGCTAATACTAATAACTACATATCAAAATATCAATTCCAGTACCAATGTAATATCAATGCTAATACTAATACATGCATATATGTATACGAATATTCATAATAGTGCTGACTAATGCAAATTAGTACTTATATTGATATGATTATTACTGACTAAAATCCACACTAATGACCATCAACAACAATAGCGTAAATTCGATAATTTTACAAGCAATTTTAATATTAAGAACATAATCTTAATATTGAGCACGTATAAACACAGCAGTCTGAGCCAAGCTGCGTGTGGGGAAATTGCCTAAGCTTGTTAGAGCCTCGCTTTGGCTGGCTTTTATGCGACCAATTTCTACGCACTATGAAAAGGGGTGGCCGGCAGTAGCAGCCGAAGCAGCCCTTGGGCGGGCCGACCACCCCTTCGGGCGCTGCTCTGCACGCAGCTATCATCAACAATAATAACGAGAACACAAAGCACAAAGGAAAAAGCCTCTGCCCAGCCACGCCCACTCGCTGTGCTGTGCTGTGCGGCGCTGTGTGGTGCTGTGCTGAGTAAGTTAAGCGTCAAAAGTTTTGATAGCTTGTGAGATGCCTACTGGAGCGACTCCGGCGTCTGCTCGCTGGACCCCATTGAGGCAACGTGGAGAAGAACTTGGAAGAGAACGAGGCAACATTTTTCATTTTTAGTTGAGCACAATTTTTTAACACAAAACTTTTATGTAAAATGTCTTGCGAGATAAAAGTTTAAATTGTCAATTGAAAATGTTGTTGGTAAAAGTTTTTTTTGATTAATTTTCACTGCGCTGCGCTGCGTTGACAATAAAGTCGATGAGCAGCAGAAGCCAGAAAGTGTGGAAAGACCCAAACATTTACATGTTCGAGGCACGAGGCAGACAAACAATTGAGCACATTAACGCGCACAGATACAAGGCGAGAGTGAGAGAGAGAGAGAGAGAGGAGAGAGAGAGAGAGAGATGGCAGCTACATATCTGCGAGGGAGACGGAGTGTGAGTCCATAGCGATTTGCATGTGAATGTGTTGAAATAGAATTTAATGGCAAAAATAACAATGAAAAGTGAAGAGCAAATAAATAAAAATAAGCTGCAAAAGTCTATTGAAAATCAGAGAAGAAGAAAAAGAAGAAGAAGAAGGCAGTGCGAATAAAGCAGCACTTAAAAGGGAATTGCGAATGCCAGAGGCAGGAAGCAGGAGCTGCTAAAACGTAATGTGTTTCTAGAAATCCTTTTATGCATAGGTATTATGCATATGACAGGAAATTACATGAAATTGAATTTTATTGTATTGAATCAATATAAAATTTGTTTTATATCAATTTTTTAAATAATTTTTGTGAAATAGTCCAGAGTCAGTTTCAGTTAAACGTGAAATTTAGTGTTGCAAGTCGAAATTCCATTTAGAGGTATTTTACAGTCATTACCAAATGTATGCATATTTTTCTATATTTTTGCTATTCTCTTCAACAAACTTTTTCGTTTTTAGTCAAATTCTTTTAATTCTACCCTCCCTATGCCGAAATTGCAGGATATTTTGTAGTTTCTTCTATATATATTTATTGAGCATTACATATCTTTTTTTTTCGAAATATTTGAAATATTTATTGTCATTAAATGTTCCATATTGCCTTCCATATTACAGGGTATTTTTTAGTCTTTACTAAAAGCTACAGCAGTTACTCTCTAATTCTTGCGGTCCTTCCATTGCTCTTCTTTCTTTTATCAAATATTCTATATTCTATACCCTGTCTTTATAAAACGTTCTATAATATATTTTAAGTTTGACTAACTTTCAGGGTATTTTTCTTAAAATTTTACTCTATGTCTCTTGCTATCTTTTTCATAATTTTTCATATTTTCATCACATTTTGCTATATTCCACTCTCCCTCTACCTAGTTTGCAGGGTATTTCATAGTCTCCATCGCTCACCTTTAGTCTCCCTCTCATTTCTCTGTAGTCTACTCTACTAATGCTTTTCTTTTTCATCAAATTTCCTCTATGCCTCAACCTTTGTCATTGCCCGAGCTCTCCGGCATTCGTATTTACTTGTTTTTTGCCCCCTTCCTTGTGATTTAGTGTAGGAAAAGCCATTTTGTACAATTTCCACACGATTGATTTCGCAAATTTTCGCCGCAAGTGCCCCCAGAAGCGAAATAGCAACCGCAGGCCCACTACTCCGCACAGCAGCTCTGGTCCCAGCAGCTGGGCCGAGCTGTCGGGCTGGTTTCTCTGCGCTCCGTAATGCCTTTTGCCCCGTAGCCACAATTACCCAAAAAGCCGATCCAATTGCTACCGATGCCGCTGCCGCTGCCATTGCCGCTGTCAGCTCTTGCCTCAAACTCCTTTGAATGCCAACCAACCAGGCCGGGTGGCATATGACTACTTTGCTCTAGACTTATCGAGGAACACATCTAGCTCTAATGCAATTAAGCCGCCCCGCATTGCCTGCAATTCATAAATATTTTATTTGACCTCGGCACAGGAGCATAACTTTCGAAAGGACCAAAGTCCTGGTAACAAACCGAAAACCCGAAACCGAACGATAAAAAAAAAAAAATCCACACACACACACACACACACACATACACACAGGCTGTGCAGATAGACATTGCGTATACGCCAGCGAGGTCGGTCGGCCAATATGCTCTTCTACTTTTTGGGGTCATTATTACTTAACGCCCTGGCAATGTTAGGCAAATTGCTTTTCGGACGAGTCCCACTGGAATGGGCGCTTCTCTACCTATATCCCTCTCCCGCTCACTCCCTTTTACTCATATTAGAGCGCTACATGTGCTGCCATTCCTCTGTATCTTCGTCTACGTCTCAGTCTCTCTGTGCCCGTGTCCAACCCTCCGAGTTGGAAAACAAATGGCGTGTGGCAACAGCAACGGCAACGGCAACGGCAAAAGGGTTAAAAGGTGCGGTTTGCCACGCTTCATGTTGCTCCTGCCACGGCCGCGACACCGGAAACAACCACCTAAAGTGGACACCAGCTGCATTTGCTTTTGTCTTCCGTCTGTTTGCTCTATGAGGGCTGGAGGGGGCCTGAGGTCCTTTTCTTTGCTTTGATGTGCCACAAATTAATTGCCTACAATTAGGCGCTCCGGCAAATGTCACTCACTCACTCACTCATTCGCATTCAGCTTGAAGTTCGACTTGGAAGCATTTCTGACACTTACCGTTATTCCACCAGCCTGTCCAGCCTGTCCGCTTGTAATGCCAGCTTAAAGGCTTGCCCCAAAGTCCCAGAGTCTGCAAAGAAAAACAGTTTGTTAGTGCCGAAAAAGTTGCGATCGAGCAAAGTCCACTACAACACGCCGCCCGACAAAACATATGCCATTACAGCCTTACTCGTGTCTACTTGTGGCATGTCTGTCACATGCAGAGGTCACTTGAATACGAAAAAAATAAAATAAAAATAAAAATGAAGAAAGTAAAAAGGGTAAGAGGCTAGCCAAACTTGCTGGAAACTTTGCTTGTAACCTCGGCCAGAGAGCGACTTTCTGCTAATGAAAAGTGTCTGCCGTTGGCTCTTCGCAAAGTTTTTCATTGACTGGACCCAAGTCCAGTTATGCCAGCGGAAGTTACTTTACTTTACATATTTATTTTCTTTTTTCAAGTTCCGCTTTTTATTTTTATTGCAATAAATAAAAGAAAATCGAATTAGACATGTGCGGCGTAAACAAATGGAAGACTTGATGCTCTATGAATTGCTAAAGGAAATTTGAGATATATCAATATATCAATTAATTTTGGGATATGATATGCTAACGATTTCATTTTCATAAACGTCTAGCTTTAGGCTTATAAAAAGACAGCCTAATGGAAGCTATTTTTGGTTTTATATTCATAAAACTAAATTTTCTATAGTAAGGAAATATATCTACCATTTAACTAAAAAGGGTTTGGCATTTTTTAATTTTTAAAAGTTATATCTCTTCAAGGAAAACTCCGATTTGAATAAATTAAATTTTACTGCAAAGAAAAAATAATTAGCTATGATGAAGAAATGTTTCAGGTCTATAAAAATAATTATTATATATGACTGTTATTTTTGAAATGTTATTTTAATTTTTTTTATATATTTTTTTTTATTTTTTATTTAGTTATTTATTTTACTTTTTATCTTTACTCTTTTAGTTTTATAAATTTTTAATTTCAATATTTTTATTTAAATTTATTTTTTATTTATTTATTATTATTTTTTTAAACTTATTTATTTTTTTCTTTTTTTAATTAAAAAAATGTCATCCCTATTCAGTTGAGAAGTGTTCTGTGTGATCTATGAACTCATTTTTCAATAATCAAAGCTAGATTTCCTTTAAAATCATATCATTTCATCATTCAATTTATTTTTATATACATTTCTTGAACTTTCATTTGACTCATCAAAATGTTCATTTCCACTCAATGCTCACGGCTCAGAGCCTTCATTATTGGTCGAAGTTCTTTGGAAAAGCAATATACTTCAACTGAGCCGCACAATTCACAATTTCACATTCAAGTCTATGGCAAACTGGCTGGAGATATGAAGTGAATGCTCAGGCTTCAGTCTCTATTGTTGCTCAAAGTTTTCGTGCCAAACAGAAATTACATTTCGGTTCGCATTTGGGTTTTTATTGTTGGCCAAGTCCCTGGCCACTTTCCTAATGGCAAGCACAAAGCACTGACCGAAAGATTTATTATCAACTGTCATTTTTGCTCGCTTGCTCTTAATTCCCACACTCTACATATATAAAGAGATATATCCACACGCACACACAGACTATCTCGCTCTCTCTCTCTCTCTCTCTCTCCCTCTCTCTCTCTCTCTCTCTCTCTCTGCTGATGCTGTCTGTGTCTGCCTGCCGCAAAAGCATTTGTTATAATCAAAAGTTCTTGACTATATGCGCTGATTGCGCTCTGTGCTTTGATTTCTCTGAACTTTCGCAAATAGTTTTGCCATTTTGCCAACGCCAAGTCGCGCCTCATGTCGTATGCGCAATTTATATGGCTTAACGCTGACAGTTCAATAAGCCAGCTCCACAGGCTGCCATTGCCACTCCGCTCTGACTGTCTGTCTCTATGACTCTTTAATTTTCATAAATAACCGAGAGCAAAAAGTAGTAGAAGAAGTAAAGTTATAGGCCAGCAACTATTGCCAACTACCTGAGACCCTAGCCACTAATTACGCATACGCCGCGTTGCGGGGCTGCAAAAGTTACAAAAGTTCCTTAACCTAGCCCAGTCGACAGCCATTTCAATAACTTCTGTTGCAGTTCCCACATAGCTACGGGGGATTTAGCCTAGACTAGACACACTCACTCTCACACACACACACACACACAGAGACATAGACCAAAATTTTTGGCTACCATATATCGTTTTAACATAATTTCTGTGGCAAAATTAACTTTATGAACTGTTGAGCGAAACGGCAACCCGGCAACCCGGCAGCTCGGCAGCTCGGCAACTCCACAACTCCACAACTGGCAAATGGCAACTAAAGCTAGAAGACAGTCAGTCCTTGGAGCGTGCGCCGCACAACCTGCCACTTAAAACAAATAACAAAGTTTTGCTTAACTTTGCGGCAAGTCGCTCGATGGGCTCGAATCGTTTGCCTTTGACTTTGCCAGCGCCCTGCCAGCTCCTGTTGCCTCCTGCCTGCTGCCAAGGAGCTGCCCTAGTCAGGCCCTGTCAAAATTATGGCCAGACACAAAGCAATGTCGTTGTGCGGCTTTGTCTTGGGCGTTGCAGGAAATCATCCGCAGTGTGCGATGCCTGCACCTAGGCCCCTCGACTTGCCTCTAGCTAAATTACGTATGAAAATGGATTTTATTAAAAAAAATGAAAAAACAAGAAAGGAAGTTGACGACGGTAAGCAACTCAGCAACAATTCTGTTTACGTTTGCCCATCAACAATAAATTGAGAGCCGTTAGGCCAAAATAAAGCAATATAAACATGGAAAACATTTAGCAACAATCAAAAAGAAACTGGAAAACATTTTCAACAAAATGAGCAAATCAAATAAATTTTTGGAGTAAATATGTACATAAATGCAATATAGAAATTTAAAAAAATGGTAATATATATATTTTTATGAAAATAGTAATAAAAATATACAGCTGTGTTCGTGAAAATAGCAGCAAAAATATACAGTAAGCTCACGAAAATAGTAGTAGATATTTGCAGCTGTGTTTATGGAAACTATAGCAAGTATATTCATTTGGTAATGAAAATAGTAGTAGATGATGAAAATAGTAGTAGTTAATGAAAATAGTAGTAGTTAATTAAAATAGTAGTAGTTCACGAAAATAATAGTAGTTAATGAAAATAAAAGTAGCTAATGAAAATAGTAGTAGTTTACGAAAATAGTAACAGTTATTGAAAATAGTAACAGCTAATGAAAATAGTAACAGCTAATGAAAAAAGTAGTGGTTCACGAAAATAGTAGTAGTTTATGAAAATAGTAGTATATATCTGCCTGTGTTCATCAAAATAGTAGCTTTCTGCAGCTGTGTTTATGGAAATAGTATTATGTCTATACAGCAGTGTTTGTAAAAAATAGTAGTAGATATTATTAACTCTTCACGATATTTGCAGCTTCCATAACACGAAATACTAATAGAAGCTGTGCGTACGAAAATAGTAGTAGATATATGCAGCTGTGTTTCTGACTTTACTTTACGAAAATAAAAGTCGATTTTTCATTGGAATTTTGGGAATAGTAGTTAAGTGAATCAGTATTCATAAAAAATAGTGGAATTGTAAAAAGGAGGCTCAAATTATGGCCACTCGGGCATGACAATTTTAATGTGTTACAAATCTCTCAGTTTTCATTAAAACCTTATTTTTATAAGCTCTTGAAAAGCAAAACTCAAGAAGCAAAAATCAATATTCGATTCAAATCAAATCAATTCATTATTAGTTTTGGCTTAGCTAAAAATTAGCTTCAACAAAAAATGGCCAACACTAGCCAGGCTGGCAAATATTCGTCCATTCGTGTCCTGCTGCTGGCTTTTTGTCAAAGTGAGTGCAAATAAATAGTTTGGCTTTCAAAATCTACAGTCAAGCAACTAAGAGGCTAAGCAAATATGAATTGAATTTATTTAGCATTTCAACAGACATGCTAATTGGAATAGATGGTGGAGTTGCTCTGGGCCTCCAAACACACACACACACACACACACACATGCTGCTGATGGCCCACTAAAGAGCAACCAATAAATGTGGAGTTGAGGCTGAAAGGCTTTTTGGCAATTGGCTGTAGTGCAGCTTGAGGTAATTGCGCTTGCTTTCAACGCCCCAGCAAAATAATAAGCGTTAACAGCAGAGGAGAATAACACCTACAAAACACACTCCCACACACACACACACACACACACAGGGAGAGAAAGGCAGAGACTGGCATTAGAATGGCGCCAAGTTTGGGGCCAACTTCATGAATTTTGAATGAACGCAAAGGCTAAACTAAACCCGGAACCTGGGCCTGTGCCTGTGCCTGGGCCTCTGCCTGACTTTTCTTCTTCAGTTTTATTTTTTCATCGTGCAGGCGTCACACAGTTGGCACTGCGAGTCCTACACGATTCGCTGTTGTCGTCGTTGCCATTGTCGTTGTTGTTGTTGTTGTCGTTGTTGTTGTTGTCGACAACCGACGACTACTTAGAGACGCCTAAACAGCTTCATTACTTTTATGAGGCTGGCGGCGCGCTTCGTTGGCTCGGCCCATTGTCTGGGGCTTGGAGCCCATCCTCGTCTGGCCAGGCGCAAATTTGTTTGTGTAAATTAAATGAAATGACTGTAAAAATGCCAAATAAGCTAATTTGCGGTTAGTTTTGCCTTTTACATATATATTTATATGTATCTGTATATATATATATAAATGGGTTTGAGTAAGCTCTTTTATAGGGCCCGGCCATAACTCTGTTTTGGGCGCCCATCATTATCAATCAAAAACAAAATGGCGGCCATTGCTCACTTTAACGGCTCACCCCCTGCCACTCAGCCGCCCTCTGACTTGTTGTTGTTGCTGTTGTTGTTGTTGTGGTCATGTCCGTCGACCATGTCCGGGCTGCATTTTAAATGTAGACAAGTCTGTTCCGGGCGCTATTTGTGCCGCCCGGCCATGAATTTTGCATGAGAGTTTAGTTAAAGTGCAGCTGGTGCAGAAACTAGCACCGGTAGCAGGAGCCGCAGCAGGAGCAGGAGCGGCAGGAGCAGCAGCTGCCTGCAGCACAAAACTTTTTTTTTATGGAACTATACGAGCAAAGTA